AAAAAAAAAAAAAAAAAAAAAAAAAAGAACATCATTAAGATTAGGGATTAACATTAGCTACTGGGGCTTTTGACAGCACAGCACAGGGAAGACCACAGTTGGAACTCAAACTTCATCCCACTCTGTTACTTGCTTACCAAGTTGGGAGGAATCTTGACAGACATTCCAAAGTGATGCTCAGACATCAGAATCACATTAATGGGTCATTTAACAACATGGTTGAGCGACAAGTCTCTCCTGTGAGTGATTTTTTGAAAGCCCACATAGATGCAGGGTGTGACAGGAGGGTGCAGCTCCAAACTCCAGGTAGAGGAATGCCCATCAGAAGAGAGATTATTTCTTCAGATGAGGTTACAGAATTCTAGACATCTCTGTGCTCTAACTCTGTGGTGTATCCAGGTGGTATCCATTTAATCATGTATCATCCCACATCACAGATTTCTAATTTTCTCCAATTGCTACTGTCTTAACATATATATAAATATTTATATTTATATATATAAATGTATTTATATAAATATATATATATATATATACATGACCCCCCTCAATAACCAGTGAGTATTTAGTGCTCACTAAATACTCACTTGTTAATTTCTCCAAGCTTCTTAGCCACAGCAGTTCATCATCAGTGGTCTGGCTCATGGTGTTAACATGAGTATCCGTTTGTGTTCCAGATCAGGCCTTGCTCTCCAGTGTTGATTTTATCCATTTAAAAGTAATGTTTCCCCTTCCTTATGCTTTACTCAATCCCACTGCTAAATGGAGCTCCCCTGTGGGGCACACAGATGTGCTCTGTTATGCTGAAATGCTGGTGGCCGGACAGAGTTCACGCCCTTCACCTCTACTGCTAGGTGGCTTCCCGGTCATGAGCCTGTCTGCCTGGTGGCCATCCCCTTGGTGGTCCTATTTGAAGATTCTCTTCCCTCTCATGTGGTTTCAGACGGAGCTCCTCCACAAACACTGGGATGAAGGTTAACTGATTGGCTTTAGCATGAGGGAGCTTGACTGGTGTTTAGCACTGCTGCTCATCGGTGCTTGTGCTACATGCTTTGGCCAGATGTAACTAACATGATGGGGAGGAAGCTGAAGTTTTCTGCCTGCCCTTTTCTGCCTGAGGTGCTCTGAATTCTTGATGGAGGGATGCTCCCTTTTCAATTATGACCCTTTCCTCCCCATGTCCCAACTGCATTGCCTTCCAGTGGTTGAAATCCAGTGGCTGTTCTTTACCCCGTGTATCCAACAGCACAGAAGTGTCACTAGTATTATCGCTACTCTTACTAACGACTTTATTTCTGTTGACAGCACAGCAGTTCAGGGCATAGTACTTCTGGGTAAATAGTCACCTGCATTATCCCAGTAATAGACTAGAATAACAGATTTTCAAATCTCTAGAATAAATAATGATCTGAAACCCAACTCTTTTTTTTTTTTTTTTTTTTTTCGTGGTACATGGGCCTCTCGCTGCTGTGGTCTCTCCCGTTGCGGAGCACAGGCTCCGGACGCACAGGCTCAGCGGCCACGGCTCACTGGCCCAGCCGCTCCGCGGCATGTGGGATCTTCCCGGACCGGGGCACGAACCCGTGTCCCCCGCATCGGCAGGCGGACTCTCAACCACTGCGCCACCAGGGAAGCCCCCCAATTCATTTGAATTAAGAATAAAAGCAAACCTAGTATCTGTAGACCATAATATGTTCTTCCTGAGGGTTCAGAATAGGAATCAGACATTTAACTGTTTTCACAGAGTCAATGGCAGCTCTAAAGTAGAGAGCAATAAGGGGCTGGTAAAGGGTCATAGAGCTTATTCCATCTGGGATTAAAAGGTTCTCTTTTTCCCCCAAAGGATCTACTTTCCTTTGATTTAGTGCCTTGGGCATCTTGATATGAATTAATTCTAATTCTGTGGGTCACGTAAATTCCCTTCAACCTCTACACCATTACCCTCTCTCTTTTCCATTCTCGGGACAGATAAGGAAGTTTGAGCTCATTGCGTAGTTACTTACCAGGCAGAGAATAAACTAAGGAAGAAGAGAGGATACTATGCCCAAAAGAAAGGGGGTCCTTTCTCTCATCCTAAAACACCTACCTCTTTGGTTTCTTGGCCTGAGGCTCTAGGCTTACTGAGTTTTAAAACAGTTCATACAAGAGGAAGAAAGAAGATAGGGATAAAAAGGAAACTGTTAACATTCTCTTGAAAAGTGGATGGGTTGTTTGAGAACAGACCAGACCATCTTCGGCTTCTGTCCTACGCCATATCATAGAGTCAGAGTGACTTGCTGATTAGGATGACCTTTTTAAGAATATGTTGTATAGTGATAATGGCTTAAAATAGGTTAATTAATTCGAAAAGAAAATGTTATCAAATATGTCTAAGAGAAAAGTGTTTCCAGACTTGTGTTGGGATCAGAGGAGAAAAAGAAACCTCAGTCCCTGTACCTCTACCAGGTTTGTGTGTAGCATAGCCAGACCCAGAGTCTCTAGGCAAGGCTTCCCAGGCTGGTCTGTGGCAGGCTTGGGGAGGGATGCTTTGAGTTGCTGTCTCTTGCGTATCTGCGTGTTGATTTGTGGCCACTGAGAAAGCCTGGTGAGTGGTAGGGTTGCTATGTCGTAGCAGCTGCTAAAGCAGTTTAAAAAAGCCTCAGTCACATTACCTCTGCATTGGCATGGAACCCCCTACCTCAGCCATCTGGGGTCATGTGTGTTTCTACTTACCACTGACCAACAAGTAGAAATAAGAATTAAACATCTTATTCAGTGTCCTTTAGCAAAAACCCTAGGATATGATTTTATAAAAAAATTGGTGTGTTTCCCAGTTTCCTCTCTCTGGAAAAGATTCGTACACACTCATTTAGGGCCCTAAAAATGGATGGTGAGGACCCTGTCCTTTCTTTTTTAAACCTAGAGCCTAAATAGAGAAAAAATATATGTATACTGTTTGAGAAATATATATATTTTTTAATTCTGAGAGAACTTTTCTTCTCTAGTCCTTATGTGTAAGATTTCTTTAAACTCCCTCAAAAAAGAGCACCATATTATTCTCCCCCCCCCCCCCCCCAGA